ACCAAGCAAAGTTGCTCTGTTGTAAATGTGCAACCAAGACATCAATCAAGAGTTCCAATCAATTATTTAGAGGCCTTGCACAGCAGCGCAAGTCGTTCAGAGCGACACTATTTTAGGCTTTTCTTTGCAAACATTCTGAGGGAGAGGTTGGTGTTTGCAGCTGTGCATTGGTTGTTTGTGTGTGTGTGTCTGTGTGTGTATGTGTGTAACAATCAATACCTCGGACAAGTTGATAGAGTCTTTCAGACTCATTACTTCTGAATGAATGAATTTTCCCTTTGCAGCCCTTCCCTTCTCTCTCGCTCCATCTTTTAACTCACAAACATAAACAGAGCACCACCTCTCTGATTTAATTTCCATTTAACTTGTACCTAATGAGTTTACATTGTGTTTTATCCCATCTCAATTACAGGAGACAGTATAATGAAAGAGATGCTCCTTGCGATAGGCTCCCCACCTCAGTAAGAGTTACTTAGCTGGGGCCGGAGCCAAAGCTCTGTCCTGTCTTTGTGAATGGGCCCCAACAGAGTGACCGGACACCTTCCTGTGTGCCAGTCACTCGTCTTTGTCAGCTCTGTCCTGTCTGGCCGTTACACTGCAAGGGTCGCTGCTGCCAGCGTCATATAAAGCATGCCTTCACTTCCATCTGAGGTTACTATTGATCAGTCTCATGATCTAATCCCCTCGCCCTGCGCTGCTGTCGGGCACACTTCGATCTTCCCTCAGCACCGCAGCTGCTGGCCTGTTGATGTCTTTATGAACCTATCCACACCACATGCCACCCTGCATCTCTCACTTGCTCCACACAATGTTCCTAGCAGCGTATGTGTGTATGTGTGTGTGATGTTTGCTTGTGCGCACACATATTTGTGCATGACCAACCTGTGAGCTATTGCCCATTCGATCCGCACCTGCCGTGACCCTGGGAGAGAGTGAGGTGATTACCTTCCTCGGCCTGCTCCAATGCTGAAGCAGCCTCACTTCCTCATAAATACTTCAGGTCTTCAGCGTTCAAGGTTTAAAGTGATTTTCCTAAAATTAAGTTTCTGAGCTTGGAGTAATCCATCACTGCCATTTACTCCGCTTCCAGACAGGGTTTTTCTTTACAGGTTTATTAAATTAATACCTTTTCTGCCTGGCTTGTGGGAGAGGTCTGAATGAATTATGATTCTACACAGTATGAGTTAAATCATGCCTTTCAGTCCTGAAGGTAAGTGAGGTGTCTCTTGGAGTGTGTGCTGCTCATTCCATCTCTTAACTAATGGTCCACAAATGTCCGGTGACTGTGTGTTAGGTGTATCATTAGGTAAATGTTTCTTTTTCTTGGCTCTACTCCACTGGCAGATGGGGTTTGACATTGTTCCTTGGGAACAAATTGATGCTGGGGAAAGTCTCCATGGTACCTGCTAATGACACCATTACCCTCCACCACCTCTTTGTCACCCCAGGTGTTGAGCTCCTAATCTGTTGGCATTGGCTGGTACTGAGGGTTGCTGCAGAGGGCTGAGTGCACCAGTTAGCCTCTGGGAGAGCACTGACACAACGTGGCCGAGCTCCAGCCTCTCTGTTGACCTTGGTGAAGGATGGAGACGATGTGTAGCTGTGCTACACTGCAGGTTCAGCTGCAATTGCAAAACGACGCCACTTACTAGGATGCCGTCTCTCTTTTTCACCTCAAAGGATAACTTCATTGTATTTTAGTATTATTTTATAGTTTTGGCCATGATTCCTATTCACCAGAGTCATCACTAAGATGTGGGAACATTGGGACATTGCAGTCTAGTGTGCCAAAAATAAGAGATCATCAGACAAGTAATTAACAGGCCAACTTTCTTTGGAGTTAAAACCAGAAATATGTGTGCCTCAAGCGTCAGTGATAACCCCTCATTGCACCAGTGCAGCTGGTCACTGTTGCACCAGAAAGTCAGTCAGTAAACTGTAATGAATTTTTGCAGAGGACAATCTGGGTAATAATTAGACCATTTACCTTTGTTTTCCCCCTGTATACAGGTGAACCAAGTACCTGTTTGACACAACAATCATCAACAACCATTTTATAATATTTTTCATAATTCAAGCAAAAGCAACAATACCAAACATTCCCTATTTTCAGCTCCTCAGATATAAGGGATTGGCACTTTTCATTGTCTTTCATCATGGTAAAGTGAACATATTTGGGTTTTGGACAAAGTTAGATATCTAAACTGTATGATCTTCTTACCGCTCCTATTTCATGCCCCAGTTCGGACTTCTTTCAAAAAAATGTTCCTACGTTCGCAAGACAATGATCTTGGTGAGTGCTGTTCTCGTATTAGCAACAGGAATGATGGCCAATAGACAAATAAGACCCGAGTTATAATGAGCCGGAATTATCCTTTAACTCAATCTGCATCTTCCTCTGTTCTCTCTTTCTCATTCTTCCTTCTCCAACTCCCCCTCCTTCCTCCCTGGCTCTCTCTCCAGTTCACTCTTGGACGAGTCCCAATGCCTTTGAACCAGCTGCACCCCGCTTCCTCTCTCAGTGTTTGCCTCCTTCATTCTGAGCTGAACCAAGAGGATAGTAGAATAAATTGCATCCTCTTTTGTCCTCTGACAGACATTGCCCGTAGCCTTCCTCCTATGGGGGACAGATGACAACGGATAGCTGCTATTTTCAAAGGAACATACTGCCTTTCTCAGTGTTGCCTCAGAGAAAGGACAGCCACCCCACACACACACCTTCCTTTTCTGCATCTTGGTTTCTAAGAGTACATCTGAGGAGCGTGTGCATGGAATACAGAGCTGAGACAGGAAGGGAAAGCCCCGATGTGCCTCCTGGAGATTTGTCATTATTTATTGATCATATATCCCCAGGAGCCTCAGCCAGTCACAGTCTCTGATTGGTGGGACTTGAGGGGGAGAGTAGAGATGGATTTAAGGCAGGTCTGACACTCACATCTTCAGGCACAAAGTACCTGGACAAGGAGCAAGCACACGAGGGACACTGAGACACTCCAAGCTAATGGAACATATATAGCAATGTGAAGAGAGGTGTAGAAAACAGTAGCAGCTTAAAGGGTAACGTCAGCATTTTTCAACCTGGAACCTATTTTCCCATGTTTTTGTGTCTTAGTGATTAATGGGAACAGCAATTTTTGAAATTGGTCCAGTATTGAGAGAGAGGGCTGCAGCTGAGAAATGCCCACAATGTAACCAGATGGGGCAATTGTGCAATATCACTGTACGCCTATTAAAAGTTAATTATTTTTGCCACAGACACGGTCAGATTGTTATGGAAGTGTCTGTAGTGTCTCTTTTTACTTGATCCAGTCAGTTTGTTATTGTGTATAAGTCTTGCTCAAAGAGAAGCCTTGTTCTGAAATCTCACAAGACGTTACTTGTTGGTGGAAGACAACGCTGGAAATACAAGTGAGAGTTGGAGAAAGTAGTGCCAGGAAGAGTTTTGTTGTGTTGCAATACAGAAAATATAGTTTATTGTCATCTAAAAGAGTGGAAGAGGGAAAAACAACAGTGGTTCGTGTTTGTGTATTCCTGTATTGTACCAGAAAAATGTCATCCTACACTTTGCGCAGCTTGGACACAATGACAAACAGACCAGATCAAGCAAAAGGTAAAGAGGCAATTCACTTATAACAACATTCTGAGTCTGCATGTGGCAAAAATAACCACTTTTAATGGAAGTACAGTCATGGTGCACAATTGCCCCATCTGCTTACATTGTGCAGCTGCCAGCTGCAGCCCTCTCTCTCAGTACAGTAGACCAATTTTAAAATTTTTTATTCCCATTAGTCACTTAAACACAAAAATATGTGGAAATAGGATCCAGGTTGAAAAATGCTAAAGTTGCCCTTTAAGTCATGGCAGGAATGACAGATTCAGATTCCTATTACTAACCCAAGTTTCTCCCTCGTCCCTTCACTCTGATGCTCTTTCAGCCAGGTGCGGCTGCACCCTCCAGATGGTACACATGCATCCCCCACTGTCATGCCGAGTGAGCTACATCATAGGTCAGCCAGCCAGCCAGCTAGTCAGTCATCCAGGACTCTAACAAGAGCGTAGTCAGTGAGCTAACTAACTTCCAGCCTGGTTTAAAGCAAAACTATTGTCCAGATGGGCATTCAGCCAGTCAGTCAGCCAGTTCTTACCCAGAGACCTGTCCTGTCACCCAGTGAAGCAGCAGGAGGAGAATTAAACTCTCTAATCTCTCCAGAACAACACTTTATTGACTGCAAGGTTATAGATATGGAATATGTCTAAACAAATACAGAGAATAAAAGACACCCACTCAGTCAGGTGTCACCTCCTCTACAGATGCTCTGATATTCCAGGCAATATATCTGTTATTGCTATGAATACAAGCATGTTGTGATAGAACAAAAACAAATTATTTTATACTTGAATGTGGATTACAATAGACGTCATGTAATCTGTTTCCAAAAATAGGCAAACACAAACTAATGGCTGTTATAGTAAGTAGACCACACTGGTGCACAACTGAGAGCTTTAATGGAAAGAGGAAGGTTGCAGAAAAGGCCAGGATAAAAGGTTTTATGACGAGATGAGGAAAGAGGGGAGAAAAAAAGCAATGAAACCATGAATTCATGAAAAGAATTAATTCATACTAATATATCATCTCAGTGCCAGCAGATCATGTATTTATGCCTCACATTAAATCTAAGAGTGTAAATTAATTTCAGCATGCATGCTCTGAATTTGTATGCTGAATAGTGCCCTCTGCTGAAAATTATTTAGAAGAACGTTGACTGATAGAAAACGGAGCAAAGTCAAGGTTGAATACACCTCACGATTTGTGTATCTTGACGTTTCTTGTGTTTTATTGATTTGACCTTGCATATTGCCTGTCAGATCCGCACTCTGCGCCTGTATTACATTTTAAAATAACACTGCAACAAGACCCACCATTTATCTTTGCACCCACAGCTCTTCTAAGCGCCTTTTCTCCATCTCTCTGTCTTTCACCCCACTCTACCCCTGGTCAGGTCGAACTGGCTGAAGCCATGCTGCGGGCGAAGGGCAGCGCTGTGGCAGGTCTGTCTGCTGTCGGCGGGCTTCAACTGTTTCCTGGTGGCCTGTGTCATTCTGGTGGTGCTGCTGCTGACGCTGGAGCTGCTCATAGACACCAAGCTGTTGCAGTGTGAGTAGGAGAAACCAACACAGTGTGACGCGTGTGTGTATATATAACAAGGATGTGGTTTTCAGGACATGATAATGGGATTTGTTACACTCATTGTTTACGGTTCTGGCTTGCAATAGCATCCTTTAAGAGGGAGAAAAGTGGACTTCTCAGCACAATTGTTTACTAATTGCTATACAAAGGCATTGGGTCAATGCATGGACATGAGATCTGTAACAAAGGAGGATGCTCACAAGAACTTAATTAGCTCAAAGACTGAGCTGCAGATAGAACATGTAGTCTTCAGCTTGTTAGACTGAGCTGCAGTTTAGGTGGAAGAACATCTGGCAAAAAGGGTTAGAGGTGGTCATAAAGCACAAAGAATGGAAAAAAAAGGAAAATATAAAAACTTGTTCACACAGTGAGACAAAACTCTATTGTGCAAATAGAAATTTCAAAAGCAAAGGTGTTCTTTAACTTAAGATAGGCACCATTTACCTGCATCAGGAGATATAATGCAGGCAACAGCTGTTACCAATATACTGTTAACAGGCAGCAGTTATTATTGACTATATTTTATTATGACAATGAATAATGTTAGTCTGAATGTGCTCGAATGACAGCAACATAGACAGTTAACACTGAAACACACCCATTACTTAGGGCCAATCAATTATTAATATCATATCCATCAATATTGTGATGTGAAACTAGATATCATCTTAGATTTTAGATATAATATTGTAGGTGCTGTCTTTTCATGGTTTCAAAGGCTGCATCAAAGTAAAGTGATGTTATTTTCTGAACTTACAAGACTGTTCTAGCTGGTCTATTATTTGCCTTTACCCACTAAATCATTATATCCACATTACTGATGATAATTTATCAAAAAATCTTATTGTGTAAATATTTTGTGAAAGCTACAATTGTCAACCCTACAATATTGTTACGATATCAAGGTATTTGGTCAAAAATATTGTGATATTTGATATTCTCTGTATTACCCAGCCCTGCCCTTACTAAACGCTGATATACTGTACTATACTATATTAAACAATAATGTATAATACTGTACTTTTTAAAGCTGGGCCCATTAATTAGCCAGGCCAATGTAGTGGCCAACATCAGCTTATTGCAGATATAATGGTATTAGTGTACATGCAGGCTAATAAATAATGAAAAAAAAATTAAAAGAAGCTAAGAAGCTACTGCACTCTGCCTTTGTATCACCTACATCGCTGTTTAAGCTAATACAAAGGCAAAGCGCAGTAGCTACAATTTTGGTGTCTTAATGTGGAACGCCTTTAAAATTTCTTACTAGATTCAGTTTGTATTTGTTTCATCAATACATGTATGTTTTAAAAGTACTAACAAAACAATGAAGCAACCCTCAGGTATTATTTTGTTGTATTATTCACTTCATGAGGTTTGACCATAATTTAGAATACCTCACATAATTATTATCATCATCTTCATCTCTGATCGTGTTATGGTTATTGTCAAGTTTTCAGTCATTTTGTCACTGGCATCATCATAATTCTCATGTTCACCATTAGCTGAAAAACGTTTACTGTGGTTTTCCTGGCCCTGATAGAATCCCAGATCTCTGGAAACCCAAGGTACAACGCAGTAACTACATTTACTGTGGTCTGTCTTGGGTTGTGGTTGGATTTTTTTTCGTAGCTGCATTTTTTACATCGTATTTTCTCTAGAAAATACAAGATTAAACCAGAAAATTTTATCACAAGATAGAGCAGATGTCTGAAGGTTTAATTTCTGTCATAACTCAGTTTTGACCAAAACTCTAGTGTTGTGGTCAGCCTTAGTTGGTCAGTATATTATACTTTACTATAATGATGATGTTTGGTTGTATAGTTCAGGACAGTTTTTGGGCAGATGTACAGCATGTGCACATGTGTCTACTGTACAGTGAGCCTGTGTTATTGATGATCTATCCTGGGATATGAGGCTCTGATCAGTCGTGGTCTGGGGAATATAAGCCTCCCATTAGTATTCCACAGTTAACGCAAAATGTCAAGTAGTCGAAACACCACTCTGACCCATGTCACCTTACTGTCACCTTCACCTACATCATCTGGCACAATGGAGGCCTCCTCATTTATCATAAGTGGAAGGTCAGGGGTCATACCTGTTTGATGTCACAGGGCTGAGTGAAGAACACAAGTGGCAGAAATGTCGCCCTGGCAGTATCCAAATGCACTCGAGTCGTTACTGTTCCCCCGGGACTGACTGACTGACTAACTAGACAGGGCAGACAAAGGAAAAGTAAGACAAATGCGTGAAGGGAGATTAGCGGACAAAGAAATCCGGCAATACAGAGTTGGCTGGTGTTGGATGAGTGTGGGGAGGACTTGAGGAAGATGAATGGACTGATAGACAGATCACTGAACACAGCAAACAAAGACAGATTGGGGGGGGGGGGGGGGGGGGGGGGGGGGGGGGGGGGTGAGAGGTGGCGCGTGAAGAGAAATGCCTCCGCTGACAGCCGAGTGCTGTTTCAGGCTGTCCACAATTAGCCTGATGAATAGATGGGGAGATACATGCATGTACAGCCTGTGGTGGATTCACCTCATGCCTCTGTCTGCATTTATACATGTATGTGAATGTATTATCACTTCACTGCACCTTGTCTTGTTATGCAGCATGTAACTGCTCTGGATGTCATAGTAACTGTCCTTAAAACTAATCAGCTGTTCTGTTTCATCCCTGCAGTTAACAATGCATTCCAGTTTGCCAGCATCATCCACTGGATCAGCCTGGCTATTCTCTCTGTGTTCTTCACCGAGGTGAGTCTCGCTCGACACAAAAACAGTCTCACTTACAGCTGATGCAGCGGCCTGTCGATTAATGCTATGTTGTGCAGTATGTGGGGCCGGTGAAGTACACCGACAGAACCTCATTAGAATACTAACAGCCCCACTGAAACGCCCCGTGTCTTCTGTCACAGCTTGATTAGATTCTGATTAGTAGAGGTGAACTTGTGTACGGCTCCATTTAAAGTGTACTTAACGGAAGTGACTGCTAAACGGCACAACAAAGATCTACACCAGTATCCTGAGAAAGAAAAAAGACTTGTGTAACTGCTGTTGTTGAAGCTGGCACAGTCGGTCCCTCTCGGGTTATTCGATTGATCCGCAGCACAAACACTTTAAAATGCAGATGGAGCCTTTCTGTGCTGCTAGTTTTAAATAATTTCAAGGCCTCAGGTGTGCTGTATTGATTACCATTTTCTTTACAACCAGCCACATTTGTCTTAGTTCCCTACACTTGACCACCCCATTGCTAACTTCTGTGTAGCTGGAGTTTTTCTTATCAGTAAAAGCACCCCCCTCAGTGTTACACTGAAGGAGCAGAAGCAGCAGGGAGGCTGGTTTCTGCTCCAGTGCAACCTTGAATATCTGAAATGAGGATGGGGGCTCAGGGATGGCAGAAGAGGAACAGAGACAAAGGGAGAGTTGTTCGCCCTCCGCGGCCCCTGCTGCGTCAGCAGAAGGAGCTAAATGCGGTGTCTTTGGATGAATTGTTTGGATGAAACCCTATCGCACCGCCTGTGATGTGTATGAATATGATGTCACTGATGAATTACCAGCAGAGGTATTAAAGAAATCTGAATTGCAACTGCAAATGCCATTTACTGAGACTGTCAAGTTTATTAGTGGGGAATTACTACCCAGCGTGCATCACCCTGTCTAACTATTTAGCCATGATTGTTTTCTTCCATCTCACCCTGGGTGTAACCTGCTCTCTGTCTCCATCTCTGCCCCCTGTGTGTGTCTCAGACGGTGTTCAGGATCGTGGTGTTGGGGATATGGGATTACATAGAGAACAAAGTAGAGGTAAGCTCCCATGGGTCCCATTAGTCCTGTTACTCGGGGGCCCCTTTCACTGCAGTGTCATTCCCTCAATGTCATACCACAGTTGAAGCTACAGACATAACAGTAGCCGCCCGTGTGTGTGTGTGTGTGTGTGTGTGTGTGTGTGTGCGCGCGCATGTGTTTTCTTAGGTGTTTGATGGAGCTGTCATCGTCCTCTCTCTGGCCCCCATGGTGGCCTCTACAGTGGCCAACGGCCCCAGCAGCCCCTGGGACGCTATCGGTCTCATCATCACACTGCGCATCTGGAGGGTCAAGAGGATCATCGATGGTGAGGCTGGGAGGGGCCGGGGGGCTGGCGTCCTCTGCGTCCTGTCCTTTACTGTCAGGTCATAGAGATAGATACTGCAGCGTGCTCTCTGCGGTATCGGCTGCGTTCAATCTTGAGGTTGTTTGTGCAATTATTTATTTGTCCTCTTCATTTTTTTAACTTCAGGTAGGGCATCATCTGCGGTTTGAAGCTCAAACTACAGCTGCTAGATGCAAATATTTTATCATACAGGTGCATACAGAACATTTTATTTATTGGGAAGTAGCTTTTTTAACAGTGTTGCTCCCCCTTGTGGTTTTTGAATATAGTACAATATCTATAATACAATATATAACCACCACAAACTATTGCTCAAAAGCTCACCATGAATTGAGCACCTTTTCTGACGCACCCTCAAGAAAAAACGAACATGACGGTAGCATTGTTTGCAGCATCCATTTTGCGGTTATTTTGTCCACCTTGTGCAGAGTATGTTGGTTGACGTCCTTTGTCATGCCCCGGTGAATATGGACAATATGCAGGCTTACATTTAAAGAAAGCAGTCTTCACATTTTATATTTAGAAACTGTGTGGAGTAATACACTGTCTAGAAGATCCACTTCAGGAGGGGGGATAATTTAAACCAATGTAGCATATAGTACAAATTAAGATTGTGGGAAAACTGACTAAAATATGCCTGCCTGTTTTAGCCTATGTGCTGCAAGTGAAGGTGGAGATGGAGCTGGAGATCCAGCAGTACGAGAAGGCCAAGGCGGTGAGGGAGGAACAGCTTGACCGTCTCACCCAGATCTGCCAGGAACAGGCGGTATGTCCTCTTATCTCTCCCATATCTCTTACCTACTTACAGTCTGTGAGTTATAGCTGCATGTAACCAGCAGAGGGCAGCAAAGTGCTATGCCAGAAAGAAAATTAAACTTAAGAAGGCATAAAGGATGCCTACAAAACTAATAATACTTCTACAGAAGTCTTGTGGATATCAGATAGGCAGCACTGTGCATTATCTAATTGACTACTTCACAATTTAATAATGAAATTTCTAATATTGGTTTTAAGTCATTTTACCGAGCTGAAGAATAAGTCAAACTTTATAAGTGTAACTGCGAGCGCATCCAGAGTGCTCTGCGTTTCTCAGATGTCGGCCCAGAGGAGTAGAAGAGGGTATACTGTATATCCAAATGTTAGAGAGGTTGGAAATGTGTAGTTTTAGCTTACTGTTCTGTATTGGTACGGGTTAACCATGATGCAAGCAATGCAGCAATATAGCAAGCTAATAAAATGCTTGGACATAAGTTGAATATTATAACATTTAGAATATTGGCCAGCAAAATGTACAAACAGTCTTAAAAAATAGTTTTTACCTTAAATAACTAAAGGAATTTTCTCCAGTTTTACCATTTCTCTTCCCTTTCAGTTTGAAATCAGGCAGCTGAGGGCCCACCTGGCCCAGCAGGACCTTGATCTGGTAGCAGAGCGTGAAGCAGCCATGCAGATCCACCATATGTGGGGTAAACAGAGCAGCAGTTTCCAGGAGGTGGACGGACTGGCCCCTGGGGCCTCCGAGCATCACGGGCCAGCCAAAGCCAGAGAGCCCGGGGGGCCTGCAGGTAACTGTCTGGAACACCCAACTTCATTGTATTACAGGCTATCAAAAACCTCTGTGGACACGCAGGGAGGGGGATCCAGGCTGTGCTTGCTATGGTCCATCATGTCCACACAATGTGGAGGCAGGAAGTTGGCTCATGTTGGAAGGTTGCAGTTTTAAAACTTTTGGGCATGTTTGGAATATTAAATGAGGAATGTTTCCTCGTCCTAAGCAGCAAAGGGTTCCCACTTTTAAAGCATTTAAAGTTTATGAATTTGAGGGGAAAACTAACTTAGTAAAATAAGTAAATAAGCTACATACCACTGTGTGCATGTGTCACGCCAACTACCATCGCCTACGCAGCATAATGATGTATTTAGCCTACACATTCGAGCCCCTCTTTTTTATTGGTGTCTGTTCTCTTTATAGAAATTCCCAGTGTTGTACCTGTAATTAACTTTGATTCATGTCTCATGCTGTGTTGAGAGCTGGGCCTGGAAAGTCCTTGAAAAGACCTTGAATCAGATGTTTGAGGTGTGGGAACTGACTGATCTGTCGAACTAACACAATATTAACAGTGTGTGAAACATGTGAAACATTTGTAGGCTACTCTAGTTTCAGAGACCTAATTGAAAGTATGGAAAAAAGTAAGTAACAAAAAAAAAAAAAGCACAGCGCATCCCCGCAACAGACGCTTCTGTAAATAGTAAACAACCGCTGGCTCTGACGCTCCATGCTGGAGGGTAGGACAGTGTATTAATAGTTGGTGTCCTCTTCTCAAAAACATTCATCTCACAATCCACATCAGAATTCTGGTGCCACACCTAGATGGACTATAAACCTTTCATACAGTGACAGGTCATAACTTACACAACTTAAAGCAACAAAGCGCCCTCTGTGCAGGTGATGTCAGGCCTCAAAACACTGAGGCTTTTGCTTTATCAAAGCTATAAATCATAGCGCGACCTGCCATACATCTGAGCTGCAGTGTTTCTAGTCAGACATCCTTTTAACTGGAGCTGCTCCTCATATACTCATGTGGTATTGATCATCCGGGGATGGTCGCTGTCGCAGTCCAGGCTGAACAATGAGCAGGCCTCTTGGGACGTCCATAAAATGAATATGTTAAACCCAAACATGAATGAATATGAGCCATCCCTCAGTCCTTTGGGACCTTGGATAGCACTTTAGAGAAACACTTGTACTGATTTAGGATCTGTGAACTTCATCCACACCAAGAGTTGCTTATTAATGCTTAAACAAATTTGGCGACTTATCCATTAATAGAAAATGACAATATCAGTGATTGATTGGTTGTTTACATTATTTATCAAGAAAAAGAGGAAAACATTTCCTCATTTCACCTTCTGTAATGTGAAGATTTTCTGCTTTGTATGGTTGTAAAATTCATATTTTTTTAAGACATCACCTTAGGGCTCTGGAAGCATGTGTTTGCTTTGGCATTTTCCACAACTGTTTTACATTTTATTGATTAAATCAACTAAAAACAAACAGAATGTTAACTAAAAATGAATCATAATTTGTTGCATTCATATTTTTTGGTACCGAGAGTTTTCTAGGTAACACTTTTAGCTTTAAGGTACAGTATTAAAGATTCAGGAAGATTTAGTGGCATCTAGCAATGAGAATTACAACCAGCTGAAACTTTTCCCCATTAGAATTCCTTCAGTGTTAATTGTTTGGGAGGTTTTTACCAGGAACCAAATTATCCGCAGAGGTCTTTCATTCTCAAAACAACTGGACCTGGTGATTAAAACCGCTAAAAACACTCAATAAAGCAGTTTCACATAATAAATCAATGATTCTCCTACACTGTTTGGCATGTAGGAGGGCTGTTAGCCTAGCACATGCTAATATGTGCTCACCTTTTTTTAATGTTCAGGAGTGCATCATCCACAGAGGTCCCTTCCTCTTCAAAACAAACAGAACAGGTGATTTAAACTGGTAAAAACACTGAATATGGCAGATCTGTGTTATTCGGACACTGCTCGTCGTGGAGGGGCTCTTAGCTACAATGCAAAAAACTCAAGTGGTCCTATCTAGAGCCAGTGTTTGGTTTGTCCATTCTGGGCTATTGTAGAAACATGGCGATGCAAAATGGCAGGATCTCATCTCCATAGATGAGCTCTTGCTCCCTATGTAGATATAAACATCTCATTCTAAGGTAATGAAAGCACAACATTTTTTTTATTTTTAGGTGATTATAAATTAAAGACAACATACTTATAATATATTCCATTTCTGCCAACATATCTCCCTAAATCCTACACACTGAACCTTTAAGTCCCCCAATTTAGCATTTGTAAGCAGTATATGAACACATGACAAGTGTTTAATTTTTCATATGAAGACATATTTTATATTATTACAATCTTGTTATACTAGATTATCATTTGTTTGTACATCAGCCTCTATTATGGGTGCCCACAGGAGAAGTTATCCGCTTGCAACCACAGTATATTGTGTTAGAAATCATTTATTAAATAAATGCAAAATTAAAGGACTGTTGCCACTTTCTAATCATAACCAAGTTGCATGGATTCTGAATAATTTAAAAAGTTTCTGTTCACACATTGGACTGCAAAACACTACATGTAATTAACTTCTAAATTCAAGACTAATTACATTAAGTGGCTGTTTCTTTCCTCTTCAGATCACCATGGTCAAGATGACATGAACAACTACATCAGCCAGTACTACAGTGAGCCAAGCAGCGGTGAGCATCAACATGATCCTGCTTCACTCTTTTCTACACCCCATGTAGCATCACCACATCTCAAGGTCCTGTGCATTATGTGTTGTTCTTGTAGACATGGGGATCCCAGACCCTGCACGTGTCATCACCACAGCAGCCATAGACGTGCACCTGCCTAACAACCCCAGCCAGCTTCCCTCCTCTTTGGTGAGTGCCGACGCAGTGCCGTCCAGCCGCTTGCAGCGCACCGGCAGCTCTGTCAGCGAAGCCTCCACCACCACAGTGTCCCGCAGCAGCTTCAGCGCTCGCCAGCACAGCATCAGCAGCCACACGCTGGGCTCCACCACGGACTGCAGCTCCACGGTGCGGGAGGCCTCCACCTCCACAGATTACAGCGACCAACGCTGCTACCCTCCGCCCTACAGCAGCCCTCTCGCCCTGGGCACTCAGCCGCGAGGGAGTCCCAGCGCTGTGATGCAGGAACTGCTCTCCTCTTTGTCCGAGAACGCCTGTCTCACCCAAAAGGGCCTGGACCCCGTCAACCTTAAACCCCCCAGCCCGGCAGGTTCCACCAAAACCAGCCCCGAGCTGGAGCACAGGGTCAACATCTACAACAAGAGGAACCAGGAGAGCAGAGTCGGGCTGCACTCCAAGCCTCTCATCCATCTGCAGGGCAACGAGCCACTCCTAGAGGAGAAGTACAGGATGATGGAGCCAGTAGCAACCCCTGTCAGCCGTCTGTCAGAGACATAGGACTCCGCCTGACATGTGGAACAACCGCAAAAATGAACGCTCTACTAAACTCCGGTGTTGATGGGAGTCACTGGCACATGAACCGTATGTCTGTCATCCTCTTTGTACTGTTGGGACTGAGAGGATGAACTTGCCAGAGCAGCACAAAAACAAGAGGGCATGAAAGACTGGAGGAGGCAAAGATGTTATCAGGCACCACTTATCAGGAATTGACACTCACAAAAACATTTTTTGAGTTTTATGAAAAATTTTACCAAAAGAAACCAGCAACAGGGCTTGAGCCCAAAATTTTCAGACATCTGGTCTGCGCAGAAAAAAAAATCTGGCTTTTGATATGTTAAGTTGTGGTTCAAGGGGATGGTGCTGAGGGCTTAGTTCCTCTGATACACTTTGTAGGAATTGGAGACGCTGGACAGATGAGATGACTTATTGGAGGGCCACAAACTGTGAATCACTTCCTGCAAGCTACAAGGCATGACTTAATCCCAAGTGCAGGTGTATCAGCTGTTTTGATAGTCAGTCCAGTGTCTCCAAACTCACAAAGAACAGTCCTCTTTGACGGGACTGCTGCAGGGTACATTGGATCAGTCTCGACTTCTTTCTAATCTTTGTCTTTCTATATTAGCAATGTTAACATTTTTATCTAAAGTCTACGAGAGGGAAGAGTGTGGGAAACTTTTGACTGATGGATGATTCAAGTGATTCAGAGTTTTTATCCAGGTGCCATGACTGGAATCTGACCAAACCCAGCTGAGTCAGTGTTTACTGAGATTTTGCAAATGACAGCATGTCCCACATGCACCAAATTCATTTTAAAAAAAGCTACCTGCACATGATAGATTTGATATCATTCAGGTCCAAAATATTACCTTTTTATGATTTTAATATTTGGGAGCTGTGTAAATATTTCAGACTGGGTTTATCACAGCCAAAAACAGCGAGGGACTTGAAGCTGAGCTAGTCAAAATGTCGAAAAAGAAAATCATAGCATGAACCTTGAAGATTTGCCTCTTAAATATCGAAACTAACCCTGTTTATTGTACTGTCAACAGGCATTTTCTATCTTGATCATGGAGAGAGGGTACTGCAAAATGAATCAATAAAGAGAAAACATGGCAAGTTATTAGTTTTCAATTTATTACACCATCTTCCAAGAGCATCTCAGTGACTATGCATCCTCTAAGAAGGCATGAAGAGCTACATCTTACAACTACGTCAAAGGTCGAGAGGCAAGTCAAGCGCTTTCAAAAATCTTCTCTGCTGTATCATAAAATTAAATACAATTACAACACAGGTACTACTAAAGGCATAAAACACCGCCCCCAGGTAAGTACAAGCTTATTCATTTATATTTAATACATGTACAGTATTTATAAAAACGGCAAAAAAATGGCAATTATTTCTAGATTGATATTTCTTTTTCTGTTTCCAGTCAAAGAGAAGATGTTGATGATGAATTATTTCTGCTCGCAAACACTCACAGCTTTGGAAATTTAAGGCAGTGGCTATGGGTGCCTGTGGTCACTCTCTGTAGTGTTCCTACTGCAGGTTCTGGCCGTGCGGTGGAGGTTTGCGGGGACTTTGTTTCTTTCCTCACTTGCCCAGTGCGTCAGTCATCTCAGGAACAGCCTGAAGAGAAAACAGTGAAGTTAATACAATATTCTACCACCTTTTAACACTAACATTATAGCAGGACCCAACTCTCAGAATATTTTGGAAAAGGAATACTTCACCCTCCAAAATGATTTGTATAACAATTACTCGCCCCGTGTTACATTAAATTAGTGGAGGAAACTTTTTCTTGCACGCCTCCAGTGAATGAGGAATCCAAAATCTGAGAGAATTTTCGATGAACTGAAGTAAAAGGGGTCCACATTTAACAACTTACTCACCACCTCTCTCATTTATCCAGTCGTATGCTCAGTAGTTCCCAAACAGGCAGCCCTTTCCAACAGGGAACTGAACTGAAATTGAAACTCGTCTATGTTCTCTTCACAGCCAGACTCCATTGACAAAAACAGTAATTTTACCTCACTGAACACCGGAGCTGCTGGTCTACCACTGCCTCAATCGATAATTTGTTTGTGTTATTGTGTGACTTTGGTGTTTTAAAAGGTTGGTTTGGATTCAGTAAAGCCGCACAAAAACACAAACAAACTACAGACTGAGGCAGTGGTAGACCAGCAGCTCCTGTGTTCAGAGAGGTAAAATTACTGTTTTTGTCAATGGAGTCTGGCTTTAAAGAGAGCATAGATTAGTTTCACTTTTTAAAGAGCTGTTTAGCAAGTAATGAGCTTATAATTGGATAAATGAGACTTGGAGTACACTGCACAAGTTTGTAAATGGATATTTTGATATAGTGTTGCTGTTCATTCATCCAGAATTTTCTCCGTTTTTGGATTCTTTATTCACCATGAAGGCACGAAGACAAAGTTTCCTTCACAAGTATTCCTTTAAATGTATTTACAGCAGGCATTTGCTGCAGTCCTGAAACTACATGATTGTAAATGCTCCCGTGTCTTTTAAAATTAATCACTCTTAAACTAAACTTGAATACACTGTGGACATATTTTGGGCATTTAGAAAAAAATTCTCTTCCTCTTAATAACTGCTGAGACCACCTGAAATATTCCCAGGCTTTACTTGTGGGGATAAATGTTCTCCTACACCTGTCAATATTATTCCCAGCATATTCCATAAAACAAGATTTATGAGTTTATTAAACAATGCATTGTGCATGCTGGTGCTTAACGGTTTAAATGAGTACGCTGACTTTTGTCTGAGATTTATCAAGACCACAGCAGGCTGCAAACATTCATCACTGTGTTTGCAAGATTGACAAATGCAGAGCAAGATTCTTAAGGGGAGGCATCTGGCCCATAAATTAACATGCTGATAATGCCAGCTGTGTAGTTTTTAAGAAGACAAATTCAAAAAGCATTTTATGGTAAATATGAGTACAAAATTATTCAAATGCCTCTCCTTGTGAGATGAGCAACTTCAGAACTGAATCATCAGACACTCCCCGAGTTGGTCCAGGGTATCAATTGTCCATTTGAGGGGGAAAAGTAGAAAGCCCATCCATTTTAATCAGCTATCTGAGGAGTGATCACATGTAAGCCGATCTCACCCAGTAGGTCACAACTCTACTGCCACTAGCTATTATTACTAATCACTCCTACAGAGTTTGTCGGGACACCTGTGCTGCTCATGCACTCTGGGGGGCTAAATAAAACATGACCAACAGGACACACATGAAAATATAACCTACTAGCCTTTCACAAGCAGCACTGGACCCCACTGTGAGTTGTGCCAACACTCCTGGCTCGCTATCCTCAAGTACCAGCTAGATACAAGAAAGCAACTATGCGTGAAAGAACCCTGGCAAGTAGAAGCTGAGCACAAACTGAAGCCACCTTTTAAGTAACTATTGATCACTTTTTCTATCTTCCACAGTGCTAATGTGTTTCTCTCTTCATGGCAAGCTCTGCCACAACTCTCCTCTGATTAATTCAAGGACTTAATAATTCAACAGTTGCACATTTCCATTAGGTGGAATAAGGCATCGTGCAAAATTTATCAGTGTGAAAGCAAATGTTATACTCTGACTGTCACTCTGGACTCCGGGCTCTCAGAACATATGACGAAGGTGCATGAGTGGTGTTTTTGACTCGCTGCTTGGTTGTTTGCAGGAATATCAATCCCAGATACTTACCTTGAAAAGATCAGCGACCAAGCCGTAGTCAGCAACCTGGAAAATGGGAGCCTCTGGGTCCTTGTTGATAGCAACAATAGTCTGAATAAAGAAAAACCCTAACATATTTAGCACTTGAACACAACAAAATAATGAACCAACTGTCTTAAATGCAGAGAAACAATAATCACTCCCACTCAATTAATAAAAATGGAATTCAGACTTAAAGGGGAACTGTACATATTTTAAAAAGTCATACATGTTATTCCCATGGTTTAAGACAGTCCAAAAGTATCAGTAAACATGAGCAACTCTCTCCCAAATCCTAAAAACTAGGGTGCTATAACTCAAATTTGTGATGCCATAGGGTATAAAGTCTGACACTGCTCCACAGACAGTGAACTGGGGAAGATGTTATAGAGGACACTGAGAGCAGCCAAGGAAACGTTCTGAGCACATGAGTACATTTTCTGTTTCATTTAGGTATAAAAAAGAAACAACCCATTGGTGGGTCCATAAAACGAGGCTCCCATTATTGTCTATGGAGTAGCCCAGACTTTATATCCTATGACATCATAAGTTTGAGACTTACTTCTCTGGTTTCCGGCTTTGAGAGAGTAGCTCATGCTCTCAGGTATTGATTGAACTTTCCTGGGCCATGGACATAACATGCAGAAAGTGACAACATTTGGTTTAGAAACATCAAAGCAAAGGTATGGTATGGTAACCAGAGTTTTGTTTGTGGATGGTGTCTATTCGCTGTGTGTGTGTGTGTGTGTGTGTGTGTGTGTGACGTGTACACGCAGACACTGACATGCAACTTCAAATTATATTTCATGTGGTACTAATTCCAAACTCTGCCAAATGTCTGTGACCAAACAAGAGTCAGGCTTCTTAGAGGGTAACTCATCATTTTCAACCTGGAACCTATTTTCCCATAGTTTTTTGTCCAATTGACTAATGAGAACAACACTTATTGAAATTGGTCCAGTACTGAGCATGAGGGCTGCAGATGGCAGCAGCGAAATATGCTGCAATTTTACCACTCAGGGAGTGTTCGCACCATCAATTTACATGCAATACAAGTGCTTGTTTTTGCCAGTGACAGGCTCAGATTATTATTTTAAGTCACTGACAACATATGAAAATTGTCTTGATTCGTGTTCCACTGTTTCAACAATGACCAACTCTAATTTAGTTGAAATAAACCCTTAATTCAGATCTGAAAATATGCTGGATTTATACACCCTAAAGTTACTGTTTATTTAAATGGAGTCTGATGGATTTGACGATGGTGGTTTCACGGCTGTTTCTGGTTAAAGAAAAAAAAAAGATCTTTCTCTAATTGTCAGACACTTAAAATGATAACCTGAGACTGCTGGTGGCAAAAATAAGCACTTTCAGAGGATGAAAACTGACGATGCTAACATGCCTCGAGTGGTTACATGGCAGCCTGTTTTGCCACTGTTGCCTGCAGCACTCTTGCTCAATACTGGACCAGTTTCAAAAATCGTTCCCATTTGTCATGAGGACACAAAAACATGGGAAAACAGGATCCAGGTTGGAAAACACCAAATTTACCCTTTAAAGCTCAGTGTCTTTCAGAACATCTAAACTAAAAGTGGAAAAGTCTGTTCTGTTTAATATATGGGAAAAAAACAGGTAAAAGAAAATGCATGGGGGAAAAACCCTAAAATCCTTTCAACTGGCTCCAGCGGCTTTACCTTGCTATCTTTCATTCCAGCCAGGTGTTGAATAGCTCCAGAGATACCAACAGCAATGTACAACTCCTGTGAACATGAACAGAAGACAACCAAACAAGTGTTACTTCCTTGTAGACATGAAGTGTAATCTCAAGCCTGTGGAAAAAGTACACCTCAGAGCTACGGTATAGCAGAGCTGACTGATGGTAATGACCATGGTTGTGTAATCTAGTAGAGGGTAGATGCTGGGCCTAGTGTGCAAAGGATCAGCTGCCCCCTTATCTTCCCAAACCCTCCGGGAAAAGCATCTCTGCCATATGAATATTTCAGTGTTTAATGTTGTAGCTTGAGTCTCAGAGGACCAGAGCATCAATGTGGGAACACAATTAAGTCTCTAACTGCAAAAAATGCATAAAATAAAATGCATAAAGCAATAGCATCTGCAAATTTCCACTCTTACAGAGCCCTGCAAAAGTATTCACCCCATTTTTCCTATTTTGTGGCATTACGACCTGTAATTTAAATGGACTTGTATTTGGATTTAGTGTAATAAACCTAAACAAAATAGCCAAAACTGGAGAAGTGAAACGAAAAACTTGTTTTAAAAAATTCTAAAAAATAAGTGGTGCATGCGTATGTAATCACTTTGCTATTAAGTCCCTAAACAAGATGTGGTGCTACCAATCACTTTTCAAACACTTGATTCTGACTGTTTTCACTAAATATTGCAGTGATAAATTATAGTTAAACCAGCAGAGAAAAAATTATCTTAAATGCATACACTTTTAAAAAATTCAAATCTTTCATTTTTCTCAATACACAACATTTTTATATTGCTAAGGTAAAAAACAAAATAGATTTAAAATATATTTTATCTACTTAACCAAATTCAACAAGCTTGTCATAACATTTGGAAAATCCAATTTGGACAGTCTGGCCTGGCCTGAGCCTCTGACCAGACATCCACTGCACTCCGCTTTAATGGATCAGCTAAATCATTTAGGGCCCTGAATGTGCCATTAAGTACATTTTGCAGGGCCTAATGTGTGGATAATCACAGCAGGGCTAACCCGGCTGAATCGCATAATGGGAAGTTAACCTTTTTAAAAGGGCAGAGCAGCCACCCTGATCATACTGCACTGTAAAGAGTGCTGTGTAAAGGCAAACAGGCATTTGTCTAACTCAACAGATTTGTCTACTCTGAACCGAGTTCAAGCATTTTGTACCTTTGAACATGATTTATTTGCCACACAAGATAAACTTAGTTCAAACTACCACTTCAGAAAATTAATCACTTACCGGTGCTACAATCTTGCCAGTCTGTCCAACCTGCATGTCGTTGGGAACATACCCAGCATCCACTGCTGCTCTGGATGCACCAACTGGAAAAAGAATATTACGCAACTTAAATCCTTCTTTAGTAAAAAATAAAGGTGATTAATAACAAAATAATTTTGAAAATTCTACCTGCAGCATTCAGCTTGTCAGCAAGGTCATAAAGCAGTTTGAAGTTATCTCCACTCTTCAAACCCCTTCCTAAGAAAAGAAAACAACATTATTCTACTAAATTAAGAAAACACATATGCAAATTAGTTGCCTGCAAGCCCAAATGACCACTTGAAACACAGACAGTGGCTTTGCAAACAAAATGTGACATTGCTTTTGCCATAATTTCTACTTCGGAACACAAAAAGATTTCCCACCTCCTGACACCACAACTTTAGCGCTGGTCAGCTCTGGACGGTCGCTCTTTGTCAGACTCTGCTCCACCCACTCAGAAATCCCAGCGGGAGCAGAAGGAGCAACTGCAGTCAACAGATGAGAGGATCACAAATGACAATGAGGAACAAAATATATTTGTAATGATACAAATAAATATATATACAAATAATATCTATAGGTGTTTCTGTGTGGTATACAGCATCTTACTTAATTAACAAATGATCAAAAGTGGTTAATCAATTACCTCAAAAAGAAACCTACAATAATACTTCAACATACATAATATCGAGTCATATCTCAGCATGCACCATCTCAGAGCTCTCTCGATGAATCAGAAAGCTACTGTACCTTCTTCTGATTTGGCACTTCCTCCCTCTGTTTTAGCTGCCTCAAAGGATGTCCCTCTGACCGTGAAGATCTTGATTGGCTCATTACATTTCACAGTGCTGAGAGCGTTTCCTATTTAATCAAAAACATAATTAACATCCAATATTTAAAAAGCAAAAAGAAGTTGTCAATGAAAACTTGCCAGAGACAAATCCTGTTGCATAGACTTAATAGTGTTTAAGTTAGATCTGCGTCATATCAAGGCTGTACAAAATCCAGGTTTCTTGACTTAACATTTCTTCTAAAGCATGTCAATATTAATCAAGCATGCATTTGTTGTTTTCTTAACCATAATAACAGGGCTTACCAGCATAAATGGTTCTGACAAAAGTGTCTGGAGACTTAATCTCAATGATATCTGATACTGGAGCAACATCCAACTTGGCAGCCACTCTGGGAAGCAGGTTCTGCAGAACAAAATGATGAATAAGCAGGGCAATATGTACTAATCAACCTAATGACAAATCAAAAGGAGAAAGAGGGACTCACGTTCTTAGATGATAAACTACACATAAAGTTTTGTGAATTGTAGTATATTTTGTAAAACTAAGATATTTCATCAGCTTCTAACTTTCAGAATTGATGAGTATGGGGTACAACAGAAACTCATCTCCACTAACAGATTAGAAAATAAATGTATTTCAAAATATAAAAATGAAAATAATAAAAGTACTACTTTTATCCACTACTTACCTTTCCGAAGGCAGATGCACCAGCACAGATGTGGGTGAAATTGAACTGCTTTTGTGTTTGTAGAATAAGTGGAGTCAACTCCTCTGTGGAAGAACGGGAAAATGAGAGAGCTGAAACAAAATCAGGTATCAGCCGCCTATGACTGCATCTGAGCCAGTTCGGTCAAGCTTGAACAAATGAGCAGGGATCAAATGAAAAACAAGCTTCCCTTCCTCAGTAAATACTGCCAAAATGCCCTTGCCACATTCACAACATCATCAAGTTGTGAATGTATGGAACTGTGCAAATATGAAGCAGTTCATTGCCAAAAACAACAGGATGTGTTGAAGCTTAAATTTCATGTTACATACCTGCCAGGGCACCTTTGTAAGAATCATGTTGGGCAACAAGAACCTTCTTCACACCCTGTACTTTGCTGATTTCCTCCACAACCTGAGAGACAGAAAACCATCTCATTTATCTTCTTCTTGTGACTGTCTATATTTTTTGTTGCTGTGAATATGTACATTCTAAACCATCCTGTGTTTATACTTCCCCATATGTTTATGACACATCTACATTATATCACAATACAAAATGTTTAATGATCCCTTAAGCAGGTCATTCTGAAAAGCTCTGCCTACCTGTGCACAGTTTGTTCCAGCAACCAGACAGGACACCTCTCCTCCCAGCTTACTGGCAGCAGTGATGGCATTGAGTGTAATCGGGGTCAGCTTGTCATTGTTGTGCTCTGCAACCACCAAGGTGCTTTGAAACCTTTGGATGATACCTGTCTGTTGGAGAAAACAAGAACACCTGAGTATCCAATGCACTCACACATCAGTAAGATTAAAGATTTGGTAGTGCTGCCTTTTGAACAGCCTGTCATATTACAGATGGTTTACAGACACTGCTAGAACCGTGCCAGTTTTGTCACAAAAGTGTGCTTTTTAATCTTGATAAAACATTTCATAAACTGATCAAATAACAATACAAACTAATACTAAATCAATATTGCCACATAAGATTTAGATTTCTGAGCTGTCATTTCTGATCAAATATGTATAGGTTATTTATTCATAGTATCAGCTCCAAATAATCTGATTCATGTAATCACATAGTGTTTGTCTTGGATTTAAGGCTACTAACAGAGGAGGTAGACACTCAGGTTAGTGCAACCTCTGAAACAGCTGCATCAGGCTCTGTCAAAGTTAAACAGGATGATACCAGCTGCATCTGGACCAGACTGAACACTATCAGTTTAAAAAGGTCACTGGAATAAAGTCAAACAAATAAGAGAAGCCTTAAAATGCCACATTAGGTTATCAACACGCGATATACCTTTGGGTGTCTCAAATGACACTGAATGTTTTAGGTAACGCTTTGGTAACACCTGTTGTTGCTTAACAGTTTTGTAACTGCTGTTTGCCGTTACCAGGTTTCATAACTGCTAGGCTAGCTATGCTAACACCAGCTAGCACTAGCGTTAGCTCGAACACAAACACTGATAACTTGCATTTTTGCTGTATAACCATGTTTACATATTGTTGTAAGAATAAGTCAAACAACGCTGTCACACACAATTTCAAAATATCCCCTCGGTTTTCAGACGAGCACGACCTCCATGACGTTTAACTCACACTAAACGTTAGCTAATGTCAGCTGGCTAGCAGCTGCTGCAGATATCCAGTGAGCTAACTGACGTGTTTTTTTGTTCTGCGTCTGTCATAATACATCAATACAGTGTCTGTGTGCGTTGTGAAAGTATAAATGCCTCACTCTTACCAGCTGTTTCAGGCTCGTTTTGTTAAAAGCTCTGTTCATCTTGGACCCTTCAAGCTTCTTGCTCCACACTGCTGCAGGAACAAAACTGTGTCAAAGGTAAACTGACGTTGGCGAAGAGTTCTCGCGAGAACAAGAACGACAACTTCCGGACGTATCTCTCAATTCAATTCCAGTGAGTTCAATTCCAATAGCTTTATTGGCATGAACAAATAAAAATTTAATATAAATATACAAAAATAAAAAACAAAATAAAAAAAATGATTAAAATAAAATAAGTAAAAAATGATAAATTAATACAAGTAAAGATAAAAAGTTATCATCGCTTTCTCTCTGATGCTTCATATATGGATACATTCACGATTCATTGTTTTATAATAGTTATGACAATTTAAACTCCGCTTTGAAAAGTCCAATTTTCCTATTACTATTTTAATTTTAGTGTAACTGTGACAGCACTTGTTTTAAATTGCCCTTTCTATCGATATAATTAATCTGGTAATAAGTGCAGACCAAAATATTATTAAATGTCATAAATAATGTTAAATATTTGCATACATTTAGTTGCAAATACGTAAAAAACCCAATATGTGAATGCAGAGCTTGCAGAAAGTACCTCAGCATAGGTATGTGCACAGCAAAGCCCACGTCACAAATATGATTTTAAAATGTAAATATTTTGTAAAAACTACATTTTGATCTATTAACTCTTTTTTATCATCTATATTTGGGGAAGCAGCCTACTTATGAGCTATACCCGCTGCATGAAAGTTTCTCTGCTCTGTTGGATAAATAAGTAAATTTGATTCAGCTGCTTTAATAAGGCATAACGCACTTTGTGTTTTCAGTGGCTTACATGTTTCTGCCTGTGAGAGAGGCGAAAGAAAGAGAGGAAGAGAAAACTGACAAATTGAAATCTGCACAAAAAAGAAACCTGCTTTGCCTTTCATAAATTTGAATTCTGTCCCTCTCCCTCCCTCTCACTCCTTCCCTCTGTCTCTTTAGTCTATTGACCAGTGACTAACCCACAGTCATCCATTGGGTCCTTCATATTTACAGTATTTATTTATTGTCGTCAGCGCCTTCTATCAACTATCAATCACAAAATATATGGCTCAGGTGTAATAATTTATGGATAATCCATATATATGCAAATTAAAAAAGATCTAGATCTTGAATTGTGCAGTTTATTGATCGCTCTGTGGATCCAAGATCTCCATATGATATTTCATCCAGTAGAGGGCTCTCTACAGTCGGCTGAGACTATTGGTTAACTATTGAAGTCACTAAAACAGAACAAAAACAAAGGGAAAAGAAATCATTTTAATAGTTTTTACTGTTTTTTACAATAATCAAAATCTAAATACAAAATGAAATTATAGCCTCATACTATTAATTATTATAATAATAATACACATTTCATAACTTATAGGTGTGACCAAATCATAACCACTGATATTAAGTATTTTTAGGCTACATGTTCAACGCTGTATCTAGCAGGGAATCCACATGTAATATGATGGATTTACAAATGAAAAGAAGGAGAAAAACAAAATAAAAACAAAATAACAAAACAAAATTAGGCTATAAAACACAATATAAGGATAAGGATAAGCCAACAATATCTAACCTATTATGACCTGTAATCCATAGATAAATAATAAGGGAATGTGATGCCAAAGGAAATAACAACAGTAGTATCTAAACTCACACAAATTAAAGTCTCTCCAGTTGTACAGTGAGTTAACAGGGAAATTGCTCTCAGGAAAGGGGATGGGCCGGCAGCGCTGTGGGACAAAAATACAGAAGAAACTACTCTCCCAGCCAGTCCAAAGAGTCAAGAGAAAAAAAACAGAGCAGGAGTCCAGGAGGAGATTTGCATGGCACCCTCTCCCCGGACCAACAGAGGTCCAGGTTTGCAGACGTCACTGGTCGAGGATCTTTGTTTTCTCTCCACCTCTCGGTGGAGGAATACAAGTTTATCATCCAGCCAGGGACGGGACGGTCTCCTCTGCCGCTCCTCTCCTCCATCTATCGGCTTGCACTGGGCTTATTTCTCCTGTATGGTGGATATCCTGCTCAACACTTCTTTCTTGGATGATATGGGGGATCATTCAAAAAGTAAGTTAGTCCTCTTTCTGCTCCTTTGTTGTCATTCCGTGGCTGTGTTGTGAGTTTTAAATTTCATTTTCAAGTCATAGTCGGTTGGATTTGATGGTTAATTGCTCGATTCATTTCGACATTTGCAGAATATAGAAAACTGGAACTAAGGCGTGATCATCAGTCCTATCCAGAAGAAAAGAAAATCACTATAGATTTTATTTAAACTTATATTGTAACTGTGCTACTCGTGCGTTTAAGGTTACTTGGTGATATTTTTAGCTCCTGTGGCCTCATTATAATAATTCTGTAATATTCCTGGAAGGAGCCACATGTTTGTTGTGATACGCGCGCAACATTTTCTCTCCTTAAGGTGGAGGGGGTGAAGGGGATTTAACGGGGATGTCACGGGGATTAAAAGAGCGCAGAGCACAGTGTTGCATTAATGCATTCCCCTCCTCACGCAGAGAAGTCGGGAATCGCAATGTGTGTGGGCTGTGGAAGTCAGATACACGACCAGTACATCCTGAGAGTCTCCCCGGACCTGGAATGGCACGCAGCCTGCCTCAAGTGTGCAGAGTGCAGCCAGTACCTGGACGAGACCTGCACTTGCTTCGTCCGGGACGGGAAGACTTACTGTAAAAGAGATTATGCAAGGTAGGAGTGCAAGAGAGTTTTCAGGATTTTTTTGTGTTACTTTCTTGCATTTTAGAGTCCAGGTGTTGGGCAAGAAAGTGAGGGGGCAACTGTGATTAAACTGAATAATAATTTTATAATGGAAAACGTGCAGGGTGTGCAAATGGAAGTGCGTAAAAGTGTGCATCATCAGACCTGCAGATTTGTGTTGCAGGCATTCAAATTTTTATTCTTTCCCTGTGATCATTATATTAACTCACAGCTTTTTGCGCTTGAACAAGACTTCACAATCATCAGATTAATTTAATTCAACACATTTTAGATCTACAACGAAGTCTCCGTGCGTCTTTCCAGGTTATTTGGCATCAAATGTGCAAAGTGTAACATGGGCTTCTGCAGCAGCGACCTGGTGATGAGAGCCCGGGACAATGTGTATCACATGGAGTGTTTCCGGTGCTCGGTGTGCAGCCGTCACCTCCTGCCGGGGGACGAGTTCTCTCTGCGGGACGACGAGCTGCTGTGTCGGGCGGATCACGGCTTGCTGGTTGAGCGGGCCTCTGCAGGGAGCCCGCTCAGCCCGGGGAGCATACACACCAGACCGCTGCACATCTCAGGTACACACCGGTTTATCATGGTAAATATAAAACTAAAACAGTGCACTGGGGAATTATCTGCAAAGGCCTTAAATCGTTCATGCTCTATTATTATTACTATTATTATTACAATTGTTTAACAATTCTGCTTGTGTTTCTTTAAAAAAAGTTTATTTTTTAAGACAAAATTTGAACAAAGTCGACTAAATAATAGTTTGTGTACAAAGGCCTGCTCTGAAATAATTTTCGGGGCAAGAACTGAGTCAAATTTATCAATATAATTCACTATTTCATTGTAAAAGAGACCTACAAATTATGTCTGGAAAGTTTTGAGTGCAGTGACCTTACAGCAGCCTAATAATATTGAATATTTCCTAATATTAAATTGCAGGAGCGATAATTGTAAATCCACACTATTTGTTCCTTAAATTTCTTAATTTAAAATGAATAATTTCTGAGACATTAAATACTTATTTTCTGATTATTTTAAAATTAAATTTGTATTTTTCTTCTTCTCAGAACCGGTTTCGGTCCGGCATCCTCCCCATCACCGGAACCACGTCCACAAGCAGTCCGAGAAGACGACCCGGGTCCGGACGGTGCTGAACGAGAAGCAGCTCCACACCCTGCGGACCTGCTACAACGCCAACCCGCGACCGGACGCTCTGATGAAGGAGCAGCTGGTGGAGATGACCGGCCTGAGCCCCAGGGTGATCCGGGTCTGGTTTCAGAACAAGCGCTGCAAAGACAAGAAGAGGTCGCTCCTGATGAAGCAGCTTCAATCACAGCAACACAGCGACAAAACCGTGAGTCATGTTATGAAATATGTTTTCATACTGTCATGGTATAACTGCAAAATTATAGCCTACATTATTTTATTAGTAGGCTTCTTATAGGCAACTTTGGGCAACATGTCCTTATTAGGTATTTTCTAGTTTACAGTCACTACTGTCACACAAAACCTGTGATTATTTTCTTCTCTGGTTTAATTTAAACAAATGTGAGGGGGACCAAGTAAAATTCAAGTGCAATGTTATTGCCACACCATGCTCGATAAGAAAGAAACAACTAAATGGCAGTGGTGCTGGAGAGAAACAATGATAGAGTGAGAAAAAAAAATCGGAAAATAATTCAGACTTAATCTGATATTTAAAAGATTTGTTTGCACAACATGAGCACCATTTGGACGGTTATTTTTCAGTTAATAAAAGGACTGAAAATAATTCGTTACACAGTTCTTTAAAGAAACAGTGATCAAAACAGCTGCTTTTATTTTTTTCATTTTTGTCTATTCCATTTTTATTTTAAATACAGGCCCACATATGTTTTCATGAATCAAATAATATTAAAAAAACAGCCCTACATATATTTTCATAAATCAAAGAATACTTTTAAAAATAGTGCCTTCGTGTATTTTCATACATCAAAAAAAATGTAGATTTAATATTGAATTAAATGGTTTTGAATCGAAAAATTATTGCAATTTTTGGCAGAAAAGAACACCTTTAATCCTTTAAATATTGCAGAATCAGATTTGTGCTATTTTACAGGCCCATATCAATTTAATACACAATTTTTACTACTAAGTGGTTAGTTTATTATTGAGTTAAATGTTCTTCTGCATCTGTTTTTGTTTGTTTTGCGTAAAATTGACTGTTTATGCTTTCATAAAGACAAAGAACATGTTTTTCTTTATTATCTCTGCATCCTATCTTTTATCTTGAAGTGACTCTACACAGTCCAAACTACACCTCTTCTCAATATTTGGGACAAACTTTTTTTTTTTCTCGTTCCTCCTGCAGAATCTGCAG